CGAATTCAAGCCTTCAGCATTGAGTTTCGAATGTGATTCAACAGAGGGAAAGCGAAATCAATTAGTCCTATGGACTGCTACTAGCCTTGGGCCTCGACGCAAGCCCAATTAAAAGATAAGTAGGACTGGAACCGGGCCATGCATGAATGATGTTGAAGCCCAAGCAATAGATATAGACTATCAGCCCTGGGCCTATAGGCAAGCCCAAGCTTCAAACATTTGGATTTATTGATTTGGATAAAAGTGAATTCAAGTTTGATAACTACCAATGTAATTTTGAACTACTGAACTCCTATGAACATTTGATGTACTCAGCGATTGAATTAACATGATTAGGATTCATTTACTAGGCCATTTAGACTCCAACATGAGATACTAGAATTGGACGAAAATGTAAAATCATTTTGAACCTATTTTCTGGAACTATTACTTCTTTCGAGTTAGAACTTCAAATTGACAGAATAGCTAAACCTCATCCATATCATAACTAATAGTATACTCTTAAATCTGAAATATAATTTCTACAGTCCAAATAGCATCTTAATCTAAACGCAGACCTTAAATTGACATAATAACCAAACTAAAGTTATTAAGCTACAGCTAATATCATATTTTATCACTCATACAAGTCTGAAAATGATTCACAACATTCGTAATAACTATGATAAGCTCTTTCACGCGAGTATTGTAACGCTAGCGGCCATAATACCGACAAGCTAACTTCAGTCATGAATCTCCAATTCTAAACAATCCTTAATCAATTACATACTAAGATATGATAGAGTGCTGAAATTAATTACAATTCAATAAGGAATTCAACATAAGAAGAACATGCATCACTTCATTCCATTCCAGAATCTGAGAGATACAGGATGTGTACCTGGAAATTAGAATGTAATAAGAAGGAGAAGAAGTCAGCAGCAGCAAATGACAACCAGCAGCAAAGGAGTGGAAGAGAAATTATTTTGAAGACCAATAAAAGGAGATTCAAATCTCAAATCGAATCCAGTTGACTATCAGCAGGCAAATAGACCCCAAATTTGTTTTCAAATCCAAATTCGACTCACTTTTACACCTTAGAATGCTCAGAAATGGTATTGAAGCTGAAGACTAAAAAACTAATAAAACAGTATTTTTTATGAGATTTTCTGCTATTTTTGCTGATTTTTCCGAATACCTATGATCTAGAATGAACTTTCTACTCTCAGATTTCAGTTTTGGTTTTGAATTTGAATTTCAAATTTTCAGCCTTCAAAAAACTTTTAGAGATTTTTAGGGATTTTTCAGATTTTCAGACCTTTGGGAATTTTTTCTCATCTCCAAAACTTGAAAAAGAAGGAAGGTAGGCTACCTCAAACTTCAGGGGGAAACTTCCAGATCTCACTCAACCTTTTCCCCCTCTTTTATTTCAGATTTTATTCAATAATCCCTAATGTTCTGACTTGTTGCTCAAGTTATGGCCACTAAACTATCCAATGTACACTAAGGCTCTATTCTAGAAGAGTCTAGGGTATTCTATTTTAACCTACAGCATTTTTGTGCCACTCTAAGTACCTAAATTGCCCTTGAACTCATGCTGAAATTACTAGTCTAGTACAGCTATATCCAAATAATTATTTAACTAGGGTTAACTAAACTAAGCCTAAGGGTTATTCGCAACCAGACACCAAACTATGGGATTATGAAAGATAATTACTAATTAACACTAGCTAGCAACAATCATAAGGGATTGGAATTCAAACAGGACTTCAAACAGGATCGATTAATGAATCAAAGACAGATAGAAACAGATTCGAAACAAAAATTAAACTAGAATCTAAAATACCGACGCAGGATTAAACAAAATGAAAAAGAATTAACCTACAAAACAATTATTGGAACATATGCGGAATCCAAAACTAAGAATCAAAACAGAAATAAACGAAAAAGCTTACTGAGTTAATATCTATATGCATTCAAACAACAACTAACTAATTAACAACAACTACCAAAGCAAGGTCAAATCACAGGAAGCAAAAGGAGGAGAGCAGAAGAAGAAAGAAATACAACAAGAGAAGAATAGGGGGAAGCTCACTATTACACTCAAACCCTAGATGTGAAATTGAAGGACTTCGGTTAGGATTCTTGTGCAGTAAACATGAGAATGGAGCTTAGAGCGGCCTGGGGGTTGTGGAATGTAAATTTGGTATGATTTGGGGCGGCGCCGCCGTGGGCGGCGGAGGCGGCGGCAACAGACTCGAATATTCGAGAAGATTGGGTGTGATTCGAGCCATGGAAGTTTGGGGTTTGGAAAGAGGAGGTCATGGGGAATCCGTGGTGTAAATTTTAGGTTCATCGGACAATCGCCGCCGGCGGAGGCGACTTCTGGCCGGCGGCGTGTGGTGGTAGGCGACGGAGAGATGAAGGGTTCTCTGATGTTGATGAGAGAAGCGAGGGTAGGGGGTTTGAGGGGGGTGGGGCTGGGTTCAGACAATTATATAGTTAATGATGGGGGCTTCCCATCCGTTGGATTAATCAACCTCGATGGTTGAGATTGATTTGGGCAATACGACGTCGTTTTGGCGTCTCTGAGCCGGACTGGGCTAAGGCGTTTTGGGCCTGGGTTGTGCGGATTTAAAGGGGTATCTATTGGGCCTGGTTGAATTAAATCTGAACAACCCAAACTTCTATCTTTCAATTCAATTATTCATTTTAATTAATTCCTAAAAATCCAAATTAATTCCTAATATTCAAGTAAAAATCCAAATTAACTCCTAATACTCGACTAATCCTAGACTAATTAACACCAAATAAATTCAAAAGAAACACTACTAAAAATCAAAAATCAAAATTAAAAATGCGAATTGAACTAGTTTTGTTATTTTCTTTACTACTAATTAATCCTAAAAATGCAAAATTAAACCCTAAGTGCAAATGTCAAGTATTTTTGTATTTTTCATTACTCAAATGAAATAAACATGCGCAGACGATATGCAAACGAAAAATGCCACAAAAATCCACAAAATTGCAAACAATGAAAAAATTATTTTGTTTTGAATTTGTGGGAGTAATTCATATAGGGCAAAAATCACGTGCTCACAATTACTTATTTTGGACCACAAGAAAAAGACCAAAAAATCACTTATTTTAGACCGGAGGGAGTAATGTTTAAAAAGGTACGTAATACTTAAAATTTGTGGTTTAAAAACAAGCCATAATATTTTCGTCATTGTAAAATATTTAAGTTATTATATATATGATATCACATTTCTGTCATTATAAAGTTTATTACTAATGATAAAATAAAAAATTTAAGTTAAATTTCATTTAAAAATTAGTAAAGAGTCATTAAGAGTTTATAAAAAAGGATCTATTATTTGTTTTATCTTTTTTCTTTTATCCTTATTTGTTTGTTCATTTCGTTGGGTGTGGGAGTGCACAAAACCACTAACGTGTGTTGCACTGTTAATCATGCCGTCCCAGAAAGTAAGCAACCATCAAACCAAGTCTTTGTCCAGCACCGGATACGGAGTGTTATTTTCAATATAAAAGGGCAGCCCGACGTACGAAGTATTTCGTGCTCATGCAGTGTTTGAGAAAAGGTCGCACTCAAAGTCAGTGTGATGTATGCAGCAACCTACCCTAATATAATTACTAACAACGACTGATTTCACAGCTCGAACCACTGACCTATAGGTCATATGGAGACAACTTTATCGTTGCTCCAAAGCTCCCATTCGTTATTTTTTATATGATAAACGAAAAAGTAGTTTGCAAGATCCGGGAAAGGGATGCACCCAAAGGAGTGTGATGTAGGCAGTCTACGCTGATGTAATCAATAGTGACTAATTCTACGACTCGAACCTATAACCAATAGGCCTCACGAAAAACAACTATACCATTTTGATTCAGGGCTCCCCTTCGTTATTTTCAATATAAAAAACGAAAAAGTAGTTTGCTAACTTTAATATGATGTTAGTCCTTAAATAATCTTGCTATAGCTACCGTGTTAAAATTATAACTTCAAATAAAGGTCGCTACAGCGCTTGAGATGCTTTTAAAAAATTGGAAAAATAACAGTCGATATATATCGTATATTATATACAAAAAAATATATAAATTTTATACACTTTTACGGCTACCAAATATAAATATTTTCTGGTGCGAACTAAAAGTGATATATAATACCCCTTTAAGATTTATGTGGACTATGTTTTTGATCTAATAAATAGCTAAACCTTTTTGGTGTTTCCAATATGTATAGCCAAAAAATCACAACTAATTTTCCAGCAATATATGTGTTAGGACTAAAATATCAGGTGTCATGCGGAAGTTAGTAAAGCCAACCTTGAACGACGATAAATCAGACAACAAAACGAGAAATATACCAAAGAGACACAAGTATATAACGTGATTCGGTCAACTGACCTACATCCACAACGGAGATGAGCAATCCACTATATAAAAGAGAGTACAAAAACATCGTGAGAACAACCTCACGAAGAGGCAAACACAAGTGACACACTAACACTTGTCCCGTAAAGTTCTCTCCCTAAACACAACTCTCAAACCTTATACCGTTACATTATGGATGCTACTGAATGAGAAGGAAGGATCCTCAATTTATAGAACTCCAAACCTTTTCCTACAAGAAAGGACGAGCCAAAAAAGAGAGATTTATAATTTCCTTATGCAAGAAGGAAAATCCAATTATGATAAACATGTTGCCCTTTCCTTCAAGAAATAGGAAAACCAAATAGGTTAAGAAAATTAAGACAAACCTAACAATATGCTATTTCGCCCTTTTTTTTCCTATCCAATATTAGACAAGGAAATGGAGTACATTTTAAATCTTCGATTGTCAAAATTAGACAGTACCGATAAGACCAGTTCATATTGATCCAAGTATGCCATCTTAAGTTCACACATACAATTTCAATCTTCAAGTCAACGGCAACTTTCTTATTCAATTAAAACATAAAAGCATTAATCTCAATTAATTAAACTTATTAAATTGTCCATAAGTTTGTTCTATTTATCTTTCTCCACCTTGAAAATCACGTAACCAATTTGTCAAAACAAATCAAGTTAGTTGCTCACCAATACCAGACCCCAAAAACCAGAAGCAAAGCATCTATAAAAGATTAGCTGCAACTGATATTTTCATAGTATTATGGAAAACAAGAAGATGGTATTAGCAAAAGAAATGGATCCAAAAATATGGAGTAAATTACCAGAAGATGTATTGGAATATTTACTTTCATTTCTACCATTGAAGACTTTCTTGAAACTCAGATCAACTTGTAAGCATTTCAAGACTCTTTTATTTTCTCCTCCTTTTGTCTCTAAACACTCCCCTTCTTCTTCTAATTCACCAAATTCTTCACCTTTTTCTTCATTTTTCTTACTTTCACACCCACAATTTCCTAGACAGTACCCTTTATTTGACACTGTTCACAACAATTGGCGTAACTTATCTCTTTGTATTTCACCTGTTTTACCATCTTCTTCATCTCTTCTTTTATCTTCTTCTAATGGCTTGCTTTGTTTCACTCGCCCGAGTTCTAATTCTTTCATTATAACAAATGTTTTAGCAAGAACTTCGAGGGTTGTTAAGTTCCCAACTTTGCCTTTTGCTTTTGAATCTCTCACTTTAATTTCTTTACCTAATAATGGGTATAAGTTGTTTGTGATGTCTACTATTGGATCTTCAAACAACCATGTTTTTGTCTATGATTCTTTGGTTCATTCTTGGATCCAATTTGGAGGCTTTGATCTAATTTTAAATGAAAATCATAATCAAGAAGGTGTTTTTCATAATGGGTATTTGTATTTTATTACCCCAGAGCCTTACTTTATAGTATATATGGATCTTAATAATGGGAAGTGGCAAAGATCCAATTTTGAGCTGCCTATAGAGCTTACTTTTGCTAGATTGGTAAGTGATGGAGATAAGAAATTGTACTTGATTAGTGGAAATGGGATTAATGGGATTTCAAGAAGTATGAAATTATGGGAATTGGATGAGAAATTCAAGATTTGGGTGGAAGTTGAGAATGTGCCAGAATTTATTTGTAGGAAGTTTTTATCAGTTTGTTACCACAACTATGAACATGTTTATTGCTTTTGGCATCAAGGGTTGATTTGTGTTTGTTGCTATTCTTGGCCTGAGATTTTATATTACAAGGTTAATAGAAGGACTTGGCATTGGCTTCCAAAATGCCCTTCATTGCCTGATAAATGGAGTTGTGGATTCAAATGGTTTTCCTTTGTTCCTGAGCTATATGCTTTTGTCTAATAGCAAAATCCATTTGTTAGAAAGACGAAATTGCGTACTTCTGAGGAGGTCTGACTGACGACAACAACAACATACCCAGTGTAATTTCACAAGTGGGGTCTGGGGAGGGTAGTGTGTACACAGACCTTACTCTACCTTCAAGTTAGCAGAGAGGTTGTTTCCGAAAGACCCTCGGCTTAAGAAAGAAAGAGGTCTGACGGACAGAGCTTGCTTTTTGTTCCTCGACTCTTTTTATGTTGTGTTCTTATGTTTTTTGTTTTGGTGTATGTAGGACTATAGGAGTAGTATTGTGTTTGATTTTCTGCCTTTAGAAATTATCTATTAGCATATAAAAACCTTGTGGAAGCATTTTTTGTTTGAAAGAATTTGAGGGGTGTTTTTGAATTTTGGTGCAATTAGAAAAGGAACTAAAAGGCAATTGAGTTTCTTGTCTTGGTTTGGACAATTTTGTATGACTCTAATCTTTAACGGTGATTGATGTCTCCATTTTTGTGCAAAACAACTTGTTATCAACGTGCAATAAATGTGGGGTAGTACTTGTGTGTGTATTTAACTAGGCATCTGGGCTCTGGCCCAATTTAATAGTATAAGACTTCAAACTTTTATGAAGGGGGCACATGGATTGATAAGTCTGCGATTAGGCAACGGCACACTTTTCTCCAAGAGGGGAGAAGAGGAGAAACATCTTTCTTGATGATCTTTTATTTCTACAACACCATTAGTTGTAGGTTAATGATTTTTGTAGGAGATTATACTGTAAAGTTGATCGTTAGAGATTATAGTGATTGTTTTGTGTCACGAACCGGATTTTTCACCCTCGGGAGTCGTGATGGTGCCTACTCATCGAAGCTAGGCAAGCCGCGTATTGTAGAATTTCTAACTCATTTATTAGCTCTTTTTAACAATTTAAACAAACATGTGATCAACAGTGAAACATTAACGATAAATAGAAACAAGCGGAAGACTTAATCTGATAAATTAACCATAAACAGTACGACTACGCCAATATACATCTCTACCCGGAATCCGGTGTCACAATATCACGGACTGTCTACGAATACTACATACAAACGTCTGAAAGAAAAGTACTGTCTGTCTCGGAAGTAGATGGAAACATAATACATATAAAGATAGAAGAGAACGTCGGGCCTGCGGACGCCTGCAGGACTACCTCGGGATCTCTAGCTGGACTGAAGGCAGCCACCTAATGCTACGGTCCAAAAGCTGCCGCTCCGGGATCTGCACATAGTGCAGAGTGTAGTATCAGCAAAATCGACTCCAAGTGCTGGTAAGTGCCTGGCCTAATCCCGGCGAAGTAGTGACGAGGCTAGGACCAGACTACCAAATAAACCTGTGCAGTTGCATAATATGTAGCGGAAAATAAAACAGGAATAAACAAGTAAAGATGGGAGGGGGTATAAGCTGCGGGGAATATCAATACCAACAGTAATTTAAGAGAAACGCATAAGGAACAGTTTAGAATCTACGGCAAAGCAATGAAGAACTCGCAGCCAATCTATAAACAATTCGTATTTTCTATTGTTGCGGCGCGCAACCCGAACCAAAACATAATAATACTGTTGCGGCGTGCAACCCGATCCTTATCATTTATCACTGTTGCGGCGTGCAACCCGATCCATATCATTTATTACTGTTGCGGCGTGCAACCCGATCCATATCATTTATTACTGTTGCGGCGTGCAACCCGATCCAATTATATTATTGTTGCGGCGTGCAATCCGATCCACATATACAGTTCAATACCAATGCACAAGTAGAGTCCCGGCAAGGGATCAATAGAGAAACAACGCTATCCCGGCAAGGGAATTGACAGTATAAGTAAATACATCCCGGCAAGGGAGAAACAGCTATAACCAAACTTGTTCCAACATCTAACTACCTCAACTAACACCAATACTCAATCATAAGTAATTTCCACGAGAATAATCATAATCCTTGCTCAATACAGAGAATCATCAACTTAAGCATCTGTAGAATTATTTAAGAACACAACAATTTCAATTTAAGACTCACGGTCATGCTTGACACCAACGTATAGATACTCGTCACCATGTCTATACGTCGTACTCAACAAGTAACATGTAGCAAATAGGACACAACTCCTAATCCCTCAAGCTAAGGTTAGACCAAACACTTACCTCGAACTTCCACGGCCAACTCAAGCCTCAAACACCGTTTTTCCTTTTGAATTTGGCTTTAAATCAATTGTATCTAGACATAATCGACTTAATAACATCAATAAATGCTAAACAATTCGACTCAAAGGCTTAATTATATATTTCCTATCATTCTTCCCAAAAAGTCAACAATCGACCCCGAGCCCGCTTGGTCGAAACTCAAGGTTCGGACCAAAACCCATTCTCCCATTCTCCCATTCACCCACGAGCCCAAATATGCAATAAGTTTCAAAATTCGACCCCGAAACGAGGTCTAAATCCCAATTAATCAAAAAGCCCTAACTCTACCTAAATCCCCAATTTTCTTCCATTAAAACCCTAGGATTATTGATAAAAGTTGATGAAAAACATTAGAGAGTTGAAAGAAATCAGTTAATGAACACTTATTTGTGATTTGGGAAGAAAATCTCTTGAGAAAATTGCCCTAGATCTTCTATTTTTATGAAAATTTGAAAGAGAAATCTCTGAAGTTATGTTTTAAAAGACTCCACTGCCCGAATTCCGCACCTGTGGTGCCTGGGTCGCACCTGCGTGACCGCACGTGCGAAAAAGTGATCGCTTCTGCGGAAATGACTAGGCCCGCTGGGGCCGCATCTGCGAGTAGGGACCCGCTCCTGCGAAACCGCTTCTACGGAAGCTTGTCCGCATCTGCGAGAGACGGGACCCACTATGCGCACCTGCGAGCTCGCACCTGCGGTGCTCGACTCGCAGGTGCGGTTACATCAGAACTGATGCAACAACAGTGTTTTCCTAAGTTTAAACACCTCAGAACCTACCCGAAACTCACCCGAGCCCTCGGGGCTCCAAACCAAACATACGTACTGTTGCGGCCAAACGCACACACAAGCGCACGCGGTCGTCAAGTAATAAAGTGACTAAAAGTCGGATGTCGAACCCACGAGGACTTGTGATTAACTATTAACTAAACTAGACTATCCTAATTCTCTAAACAAGGATTAAACCTAGAAGTATTTGATTATAAACTAATTAAATAAAGAAATATAAATAATAAACTTTCAACAGAGGAAGAGCAGATTTTTATGATATCAATGTAACGAAAACGATCTAGGGTTATGGGTTATCTAACATTCCTATTGTATTCTTCAATTGAATTAACTAACTAATTTATCTAGTTTATTGGTTGACAAGGTTAATATTGCTCATAAGAATCTGTCGAGTTCTTACTCGCCTATTCAAGCTAACCTAACTCCTATATGTCTATCGAATTAGAACTAACAAGAACGCATTTATAATTCCGGTAAATTAACCAAGCAGGGCAATTAGGTATATGTCTATCCTAACCGCGAATCCGTTCCCCGATGCCCAGGTTCAAGAACTTGCTCTACTCAATCCTATATGCAATCTAGAATTCCCACTTACGAGTTCAATTCAAGATTCGTAGATAGTATTTAATTGGTGATAAAGCAATTAAATAATTTAGTGTAGGATTAAATAAATAAACCAATATTATAAACTAAGAAATTAAAATCAATATCCGAATAACAATAGTCATGAAAGAACCATAACCCTAGAACGTGAAGTTTAGCTCCACATAGACATGGTAGCCAAACAACAAATCATACAAAGAAACACAAAAATTACTGAGTTTGGAGGAAGAAAGATGGAACTTGATGAATTCCGGCCTCCACGGCGGCTCTGTGCTTGTGTTTTTACTCTCAAAAAACGTTCCTCTCCTCAAAATAGGTTTTTGGATGGCTTTTATACGTGTTGGATAGGTCTAGGGCTGACTAAATCGAGTCCCGGGCAAAATAGGACGAAATCCGCATCATCGGCGCCCAGCCCGGCGCCAGGCGCCCACCAGGGCGCTGCCCAAATTTGCACACTGTTTTCAGCGCCACAGGTGGCGCCAGGCGCTACCTGTGGCGCCCAAATGGCCATTTTTTCCGATTTTGTTCGTTTTGGCTCAAATCTTGTGCGTTTCGCCCCCAATTGCTCCCGAATCATTCCTACAAGTAAAAATACTTCAAATTAATATAAATAATAGCATTTAACATCCCAAATTCAAGAAACAAAAGTAAAATATGAGGCGATATACATAGAAATATATATACTTTAAGCTAAACATCACGTACTAACTCAAAAACATCATATGAACTTATCCGTGCGATCAAATCGCCAAAATAACCTCTCAAACGATGAATTTAGCATAGAAATCTAAGAAAAGTCTCAAAACTTCCAAAGTATCAATTTTCACAACTACGGGTCAGAATCACCTCAAACGACTTCCGTTTCTTTCCAAATTTCACAGACTCATCTTATTACACATATAAGACCTGTACCGGGCTCCGGAACCAGAATACGAGCCCGACCCCATCAAATTCTAAATGCATTTCATTTCCAAAACTTATAAAAATTTCCAGAAAACAATTTTCTTTAAAAATTCATTTCTCGGGCTTGGGACCGCGGAATTCGATTCCGGGCATACGCCGAAGTCCCATATTTTTCCACGGATACTCCGGGACCGTCAAATCACGGGTCCGGGTCCGTTTACCCAAAATATTGACCGAAGTCAACTTAAATACATTTTAAGTCAAAATTTCTACATTTTTCACAGATTTTCACATAATAGCTTTTCCGGCTACGCGCCCGGATTGCGCATGCAAATCGAGGTAATGCTGAAAGAGGTTTTGGGTCATCACATCCTCCACCTCTAAAACAACCGTTCGTCCTCGAACGGACATAAGAAGGAAGTACCTGAGTCGGGGAAAAGATGGGGATAACGGCTCTGCATGTCGGACTCGGACTCCCAGGTCGATGCCTCAGCAGGATGACCTCTCCACTGAACACGAACAGAAGGAAAATTCTTCGATCTCAACTGACGAATCTGTCGGTTTAGAATAGCTACCAGCTCCTCCTCATAAGAATAGTCCTTGTCCAACTGGACAGTGCTGAAATCTAACACGTGAGATGGATCGTCGTGATACTTCCAAAGCATGGACACATGAAATACTGGATGCACGGCTGATAAGCTCGGCGGCAACGCAAGTCTGTAAGCCACTTCTCCCACTCGATCAAGAATCTCAAACGGGCGAATGAACCTAGGGCTAAGCTTGCCCTTCTTCCCAAATCTCATCACGCCCTTCATAGGAGACACTCGAAGTAATACCCGCTCACCGNAAGTAAAGATGGGAGGGGGTATAAGCTGCGGGGAATATCAATACCAACAGTAATTTAAGAGAAACGCATAAGGAACAGTTTAGAATCTAACGGCAAAGCAATGAAG